CTCAAAGTTATAACGTGACATATGAAATATGTGGTTGACCATTTTTTGTTATATAAGGAGCTGCTAGGAACCCTCGCAATAATTGATTTGCATTATAGATTTCTTTCTTAATAATATTGTAATTTTTGAAAATGTGATTCAATATTAGGCAATAAAGGGAACTGGCCTTATTAGGTACAGGGTCATTTTTTATATTTTCCCATCCCCCGAACTTTTTGGTGCCACTGTGTATTATAGAAAAATGTAAATAGGAAAGGCGTAGTGCTTAAAAATAGTTCTCAGAAAACATAGTTTTGTTCAAACAGGGTGTTGCAGAAAGTTTAATAAACAAAAAAAATATTTATTTTTTTATGATAATATGACATTTCTGGATTTTGCGCAAAATTCTAGACATATTTCATTTACAATGTCCTATACTTAACTTCAACTATTTCGAAAATATTGTCAGTTAAAAATTGACTTTTTTGCATCTCTGAAAGACTGTAAAACCTAAACGGTTGATTTTACAGCAAAACCGATCATACATGCTTGTGTTAGTTTTTCATGAAATATCATTTGACATCAACTTTGAATTTAATCCATGATTGAAAATGCCAGTTAAATTTAATCTCCAGTTAAATTCAAAGTTGGTGTCAAATGCTAGGTTATGAAAAGCTGTAGAAGACAATGTAAAATAGGTTTTGCTGTAAGATTAACCGTTAAGGTTTTACAGACACTAAAAGTTGCAAAAAAGTCAATTTTTTACTGTCAATATTTCTGAAATAGTTGAAGATAGGTATATGACATTATACATGAAGTATGTCTAGAATTTGCCGCAGAATCCATAAATGTCATAATATACAGGGTGTCCCATTTAAAATTTTTGTTTTGTTTTTTAATCATTCTGAAACACCCTGTATGAATAAAACTTTTTTTTCTGAGAACTATTTTTGAAGCTCAACACCTTTCCCATTTACATTTTTTTTATACACAGTGGCACAAAAAAGTTAAAGCAGGTTAGAAAATATAAAAAATGACCCTGTATTTGGCTTTATTTGGGTCAGATACCTTATATATGATAAAATAAAATAGTTTTATTTAATTTGTGTCGTAAAGTGGCTTTCTCTCCTAATAATTGCAAAGATTTTTTTTTTGCATGTGTCTGAATCCTTATATTGGAATATGTGTCTGTTACAAATTTTATAATTTGAGTTTCATGTAATTCACCAGCATTTTCTATAACAGGATGCTCTACTTCAAAAAGAGACTTCAATTTTGGAAGGAAATGTTGAAACACAGATCTTATGATGTTTCTTTTAAAATTATTTTTCCCTAGAATACCAAGATTCAATTCAGCCCTAAAGGCCCTCTCAGCATAACAAACTATTTCAAAAATAGCTCGTGAAGGATAATAAAGCTTTCCATTTGAAATAAATCTAGTAAAACTACTACTATCATTAATATCTAGCAAATAATAATTATGATCGCTATTGTAATTTTTCGTTATCATTGCTTGACAATAGGTGCATGGATTTATGTTTAAAATTTTTCTTATTATTACTCCGCAAATATAGAAAAGAACATTATTTTGAAATGCAGAGAGGGATGTGTATTCAATGGCAGAAATTAAATAGTTCAAATCTTCATCTACCGCACTATTCTGGGTATCGGTAATATTTTTGAAACTCCGAAAATCGAAGACTGGCGCTAGGTCTGAATTGAAATTTGCACAACAATTTCCATTTACACTAGGCCGAACACTGTTCCTAAATAATAACTTTCGTAGTGTCCATTTAAATTGTTGTGCATTGGGATTATTGTTCCACCCTCCAGCAGCTCTTATACAGCAAAAATAAAGTTCTAAGTGGTCTTGTGAACACTTATACGTTAAAAAATACTTTTGGGGCCTTTCTTCCCTTGTCAAAAGCAACAATGCTAACTTCTCAAAACTATAAATATTCATGAGGAAACCAAGAGCAAAGGTTTTTCTTGCATGTTGTAGTACATTGCATTCATTAATTTTCAATTTCTTTATGTACTCAGAAGTTTCAACAAATATATTTTTCCAGTACTTCAAGTTTTTTAGAGACATAGGTGATTTATAGCCTTTTCCAAATGAAGATCGAGAGTTCATAATGTCAAAAATTCTATCGAATATACGTAAAAATTCAGTAGTTGCCTCACTTCCCTTAAATTCCTCAACTCCAGACATCCGTAAAAAGTCTATAGCATCAGCCACACTAGAACTAATTACCTGAGCTGCAAGACGAACATTCATTTTTTTTTGTTTAAACTTTATATGAGCACCAGTTAACGAATTAGCTAATTTTAGGTCTTCTTTTTCCTGTAACAAATGTAGCCTCTCTACAAATTTGAATTCAATGTTTCCAGATGGTGATGAAATGTTCATTTCTGCAAATGCATTTCTAAGCAATTTTATAAGATGGCAGGGATCTAACATACAATATACATCTAAAGATTTATCAATGCTTAGTTTTTCAACAGAAAAAAAGTTATTGATTGTGAATTTTGCTTCCATATTTTCTGAACTCAAATTACAACCTAACAAAGAAAAAGCTTTAATATTGGCTACACAACCATCACAAGTTATCGAACGAACATGAATATTAATCTCCAATAATTTTTGGATAGCAACTAAGGTAAATTGCTTAAGTAAAATCGAATTGATTTTATTAACATAAAAATAGGCAATAGGACATTTAAAATTATAGGTATATGAAACAATCATAAATACTAATGTTTCGGTCGCCAATTCTTGGGCATCTGCCGATGCTACTTTTCCTAAACTAACATAACCACAGTGTTTGTCATTTTGTTTGTCATAAACAATTTGTGAGCGTATTGCCATTGAATCAAAGACTAAGGCAACATCATGCAAATAATCACAGTTAGTTGCCTCCGCTTTAAGAAACTTGAATACCTCCTGTAAATAACCTTCTTCACAATTAAAAACAGAAAGCCACTTTCTCAACATTGCAGGATGGGGCAAACACATGGTTTTTCGTAAAAAACTATAAGCTCTTGGTGAATAAAAATATAATGTAAGGGCAAATGATCTAACTTCTAAGGAATATCTTCTTCGGTTTGGACTTACTTTAGAGTTATGGAGCTCACTTCTAAATATATCTAAGGAAAGACCCTCAAAGTTATTCATCAAAACTTCCTCCAAACCAGTGTCGCATTTAGAATTTTCATTTAAATGTTTTATTAAATCTTGCATTGTTCTAATTTTTCTGGTCTTTCTCCTCACGTTTTGTTGAAGGTTTTTAATTTTTCTCTTGATTCTAACTTCTGGGGCAGATTTTCTAGTTTGAACTGCAATATCCTTAGTAACACACTGAAACTTGCCAGCAGGCTGTAAAATGATAAAATATAGTATTATTTAAATAATAATATGCCATAAAAGTACAAAGCTAAGTTTGTCTTGGAATTACACATTTATAATATTATACCTCAGCCTCAGGTATCTTAGGTTCCACCAGAGATTTCTTAATGATTTTTCTTCTTTGTACAGCGGGTGCTACTTGTAAATGTTTAGGGAACTTGAAAATTGAAGGCACAGCATCCTTTTTCAATAATTTTTTATGTAATGATGATTCCAAATAATCGCTCTCCCTAAAATGGTCACTGCATAGTACTGTATGAGCTGATGGCTTGAAATTTTCCCAACGAACAGCTTTTATCCATAATCTCAAAACTTCAGGCCTTGACAAAGGAAACCTTAAACAATGAACAACAAAACAAATTTGACTATCTTCACCTTTTGGTGTAGGCAAATAATAATATGTGAGCAGAAATGCTTGTATTATTGATTTGATTCTAACCTACATATGAATGAAGGGGAAAAATACTTACTTATGAAACCGTAGCTTAGTCCCCGGTGTCCTTTCATTTGTACATCTATAGGCACAACAATAGACAACCATTTTCTATAGTTTTTATGCACATTATCTCCCAATTTCACAATAAAATCTCCAAAAAATAGCTCAAATATAATGAATTTCTTTGGAACGTCATATGTCAGCGAGCAACAGAAAAGAACAACATTCCCCTTTGCGACATCCGTCTTTGTCTAACAAGGTGGCTTCACATTTTGACGCATATGGCAATCGTGTGCGCATTCCAGTCTTGGTTATAGTTCATTGGTCCGCCCTTTAGTGATAGCCATTTTGATGAAGCAAGGTTTCTACCAATGTCATTGGTTTCTACAATAAGAATGATAAAAATTACAACCTCAAAATTTTCGCAGGTTTTGAACTTGATGTTGAAGGCTTGCTCTCGGGCTTGCTAGCTACTGTGTAATTTGTCTGATGAGATCTCTGTAAATCCAATACATTTACTTTGTGGGTTGATAGGTAAGCTGATGATGTAGAGGCTTCATTCACTATTGGTTCTGTATTTTCTAAGATGAAATAGAATGTGATTATATAACTAGCAAACTGTGTTTTTTTTTTGCTAAAATCATCTGGCTGGGTCCGGGATACATTAAGGACTAAAACAGATGGACTAATCTAGCGCCACAGAGTATTAACATTAAGGGGTACATAAAAGCCACTTTATAGCTCTTAAGTCGCAGTACCAGCCATTAATTTTAATTTGTGTCAATGATAATAATCAATAAGTTCAACTATTTCATGTTTTTTTTTTAAACAAAAATTCAAAAATGTAGAATTCTTACCAATGCATTCAGTATTATCTTGCATGCTCAAGTCAACTTCATCGACAAACTATCCTCACATCATCAGATAATATATCCTCTACAGGAATTGTCAGACCTAAAAAAAAAGTTAAATGGTTTTCAGGCCCAATTTTCTATTAAGTCATGCGAGAAGTTTTGAAAATATTTTTATCTCGAGGTTTAAATCATGCTCATAGATATGGGTACTTGTCACACAAAACCCCTTGACAAAACGTGGAGCAAAAAGCATGAACAATTTATAAGTTAACTATGTATATATTTTTAAACTTACTGCCATGATCATGGATGATGGATTCTGAGCCTATATTCTCTGTTTTCTCTGTTGATCCCGAAGCCTCCAACAGTTGGGTTCAGCATCGTTACCAATAGTTTTCGATGTACTGATTGAGGTTTTCTTCTTTTTGGCAACTTTGAATTCCTTCATCAAATAATAAATATTGCTACATAAAGTATCCTTCTCTGTAGAGACTACTTCTATTCCTGACCTATAATAATTACATTATACTTTAGATTGAAATAAATATACTCTTACCTAATAAGAGGAAGAAGTACTAGGTTTATTTTCAGAATATTTTTATATTTTAAGTGGGTGAGTACACTTACTTGTCTTTAAAGATTTCAAACATTTCCAGCCACAGTTTTATTAACCTCTCCAAATGTTCCCTCAGTGTTCTTATGACGAATGTTTTTCCAGTTAAACTGGAAACATTTTCTTGAATCACTTGCCATAACGCAGGATTCTCAAATGGATTGTGAGACAATACTTCCCGTAACAGCACCAAATCGTCATGGCCAGAAAAGCGTTGACGTTTCTTCAAAGCGTCCATGGTGTAAAGTGTAAAAAGTCTTGGCAAAATAACAGTGAAACAGTGTAAAAGAAGCGACTTCAAAGAAGGTATATTGCAAACTGAGCCCACAAAATTTAAATTGGCACCCTCTCAAGTAAAAAAACAAAATACCGGGAGTACCTTTTTCTTTTGACACAGCATCATAATAAAAACCGTTAAAGGGTGTATTTTGTCTATACTCGAGTCATCACGTCGGGGTCCCTGTGTTGGTACCGTATCCAGGGTGTTTTTCTTAGGCTTAGCTAACAACGGTTATTTTCAACTTTTTCTTTGGAAAAATGAAAATAAGCAATAATGAAAAACATATCTTTTTATTATTAAACTTAAGCCTACTTTACATTTCACTAATCCTAACCTAACACAAACCATTTACCTCAACCTAATGAAACAGAAAACTTATCCTAAATTATGAACTAAACTCACTTATAAATTAATTTGGCCTGGCCTCTATTATTTCAACCAAATTTTCATAGATTTTTGTCTTAAAAATTATTTTTTCGGTGGCCGACAAAACCTCCATGTCCCGGCATAAACTTTTGACGAAACTTTCATCAGTGGTTGTCGTCTCCGATAGTGGGGGCCTTGAAAATCGCTGGTGAAACCCAACAACAGCTGTTGTAATACTGTCGCACATAACTGCTTGCGGTTCCTTTTTTTTTAAACTTCTTTGAGGAGTTATTTGTACTCCTTGCCTCTTCAGAATCCTGGTTGGTGAAGTGGGACCCAATGCTGGAGCCGTACCCTCCGTTGGTGTCCCCGGAGGTGAAAAAAAATCTTCCACTTCCGAGGAACCTGGAGTAGTGGTAGGCTCTTCGGCCTGGGAAGCTTGAGAACTTGCTTGAGAAGCTTCACTATCCAAACACTGCTGGAAGCTACTCCAAACGCTGCTGGGCTGAGTAGGTAGCAGTGCTCGTTGAGGCTACTGCCAGAGTTGGCATGTTGGATGTTGTTCTATAAATTCACAATACAATTATACATATTGTCAAAATAGGTGTAAAACTACTCACTTCCTGGTCGACAAAAACGGGTCTAGAAACCCCATGGCATCGAAATGGGGCCAATCGATCTCATAGGCGAGGCGCCAGCCCCTGACGGCATCAGCTTAATTTCTTTTTTGAGTTTTGTGTATTTTGCCCGCAGAACAACAAATCGCGCGCTACACTCTTCAGCTGTAACAAAATATATTTTTTCACCAGTTCACTTGTATTAAATAATATTTAACTTACGGGTGGCGTCCATGATCTCCCCTATTGTGATCCATGCGGCCTCCTTCGCCGTTTTTGATCGAAAGCGTGGATCTTTTTCGTTGAATAAGGCCGGAAGCCTTGAGCTTGCTCAATCAGGAGTCCGTCGTCCATTATTGAGTTGATTAATTAAATTCGTTTCTCACAAAAAATACCCAAAACTGTGGCCATAAACTCCACTTATTTTAAAATTCTGGAAAAAAAACACGTGACAAATCTACTAAACAAAACGCAGCGTAAGCAAAATACAAAATGAAGCCGGATCACGTCACGGGCCGACATCAAAATGACACAGTTGACAGAAGACACGCTGTCATTTTTAAGCAGCTGATTGGTTACAAATTATTTCTTATGTTATGTTATTTCCTGTATAAACGCCACAAAATTCTTATTTATTATATTATGTTATGTCTTATTTTATCTTATTTCTTATGTTTTGTTATGTGCTGTATAAACCCACCTATAGACTTTTCCAAATAATTCTTTTTTTTGAAATAAAAAATTGATCAATTAATGATGGAGATACGAATTCTTCAAAAATTGCTCCATCCGCGATCATGACGTGACTGTTTTTCGGAAAAAAATGATTGACAAAAATGCCAACATACCATTAGATAATCTAGTAATCCCATATTTTCATAAAATAATGCATTTTCAAACTTAGCACGAGATCGAAGCGAGCGGCCGTTTTTGAACCCTATGATAATAGACTATCTTGTTGGAGTTCTGTTTTTGGTTTGGTATGCATTTCCAGGATGTATATTCTCCTTGTTGGTACAGGTCTCGGTAAAGTTATTTGCATTATCGAAACTTTTATTCGAGACATTATTATAATTTATTTCAATATAGGGATTTCTTTCAAATTCTTTTATTATCACATCATCATTAGCTGAAAACAAAAAGAAGTGTAGTGTAAAAATGGAGAATAAGAATAGAAGATTAAAACTTAGAAAGAAGTGTATTTTTTTTCTCTGTAGATTGTAGATAATACTAATATGCTGTGCTAATACATTATCATAGTATAGGTATATTTAACACAAAGTCTCAATGACAAAAAAGAAGACCCTCTTCAGGTAAGGTAGGTATTTGGAAATTGAATTTAAAAAAAAAAACGCTGAGCTTAGCTACTTTTATATTAAAAGGCAGGGGGATTCAACTTTAACCCCCTTGTTAGCTGGTATAATATTAAAAAAAAAAAAACTAACTTACCACACAATGCTACATTTCAAACAAGGTTTCATTTGTTAAGTTTGTTAAAGCCTTGGTCTCTACAATTTAAGCCGCTTTGATGAGAAAATTCAGTGGAATTAAAGTAATTAAATTGATGTCAGAGTCGCACACATTTTCGGAAAAATATAGTAACTCCGTTACACACCCTCTCTTCTTCGGAAAAAAATATTTGAAATTAACTACAATTTGAACTAAAAAATTTTTTTATCCGGCATAGGGACCCCTAAATTCTAAAATATAAATAATAGAAAAACTTAACAATAGTCAATTATATATAAAAAAAATAAAGAGCAAGGAGAGAGATGAAGAGAAAAAAATCCACTGCAGCTAATCCTCAAAGCTTCCGAAGATTGAGCGATCTGGTTTAACGATCGGCTTTACTGGTGGCGACGGTACGGACATCCGCAATACCGGCACGGTCTGTATGCCCGGGAATGCTGAAAGCTGAAGGACCTCTCGGTTGGTGAGCCGGTTACTGGCGATGAGGAGATACCCTCCTATGCTGACAACGGCACTCTCGGGATAGTACACCCATGCGTCCGCATTGGGAGCAAAATTTTATGGGTATGCCGTTGCCAGAATCTCGGTGGTGACCGCGTTTGCCGAACTTCCAACACATATCCCTATGGATGGGCAGAAAGACCGGTCCCGGACGACGAAGAGTGCTGCGGCTGACGGTCGCAGACGGATGGTGCAGACGGACGGAGCCTCTGGAGAATCTCCGGTCTGAACAAAAATGCCTTCGACATGGGAGAGTCTATCGGGAAGCAGACTTCCGTGATGGTATGTCCTTCACGTCCACGTCCAGAAAGCCTTCGAGCTCGAGGAGTAGAGGGCATGCCTCGGAGGATGTTGATGAGAGCATGGTGAAAGTAAAGGTTTAGGTTTCGCTGAGAGAGAAAGAACAGGTTAACTATGGATGTTATATCAGCTTGTTCGGTATATCTTTTTTTGCTAGTAGAAGAAGTAACGGAGACGGTGTTAAAGTGAAATGTAATCATAGCCCCAAAAAGGAAAGAAAAGAAAAAAAAAACTCTAAGTAACACAAAAAAAAAAAATTAAATACTAAATAAAACCAAAATAAGTATCCCAAAATCTCTCCCAACAAAAACATAGGCATGAAAAAAATAAAATAAAACATGTTCCTATCAGTTTTATCGGTTATTATTCTGCCCTCTGATGTTAGAAATCGGCGACGGTACCGGGCCGCATGGAGGTAAGTAAAATCCTATTTAACATTCGGTAATCCGTTCGACAACGGTTCGGTTTTTGAAATGTAACACCCGTGGTTGCATGGACGTGCGCTTTATCGGGTGTTACTTACCCTCGTTATTCAGCCTATTAACTATCTTGTAAATAATTATTTTAGGGCATTGAAATATCAAAACATGAGTATATAAGTGCAAAATATAATTAATATTGTTATATTAATATAATTATACTGTGCGTTCGTAATTTCCATATCCTACAAATAAAAAATTTCCCCATATGTAGCGAACATTATGGGGTGGGGGACACTGTATATGGATAAAGCCCAATTTATAAACTCACCGTCGAACGTTAACGTTTGCGTTTAGCACGCCGTTACCAAGTGAATATAGAGTAGGAAAAACTCGCTTCCTTCATGATTTTTTTTTTTTTTGAGGTATAACCAAATGAAACCTTATTACATCACTAGATACGTCATTGGATATCCGAAATGGCTATTTTCAACTTTTTTTAACGGTACCGATTATTTCTAAATCAAAAAATATATAAAATTTGTGAAAATAATTGTTTCGTACTTTTTTACACATAACTCGTAATATCTCGGAAACTAATTGAGATAATTGAACATTTTTTTTTTTAATCGATGGAGAAAATGTGGACGAACGTAACTGTGCTAATTCGGTTTCCTCGAAATACATAGTTTTTTCTGCATATTGGGAGGAAACTCGGACAGATAGTTTTTTGCAGCACTTTTTTCGGTAAGCGAGAAACTTTTTTGTTTTTAGGAATTTTGCCATACTATCGCGTATGAATTAAAGGTAAGGCTCCGAGAAAGTTTTTTGAAAAAAAATCAGTACGATACGATGCCTACTGTTCAAGTTATCGGTACTTGAAGTTGAAAACATCTCTGACCACGCTACCCTTCTCCCTTGACACGCCTCCTGTGCGAGTTTCCTCCCAATATGCAGAAACAACTATGTATTTCGAGGAAACCAAATTAGCACAGTTACGTTCGCTCATGTTTCCTCCATCGATTAAAAAAAAATTGTTCAATTATCTCAATTAGTTTCCGAGATATTGCGAGTTATGTGTAAAAAAGTACGAAACAATTATTTTCGCAAATTTTACATATTTTTCGATCTAGAAAAAATGGGTACCGTTAAAAAAAGTCGTAAACGGCCATTCCATATTTCCAATGACGCATCTAATGATATCACAAAGATTTAATCTGGTTACACCTCAAAAAAAAAAAAAATTGAAACATTTTTCACCCTATTTCGCTGCACTAGTATCAGA